TGAAGATGTTACCTAGTCGGGTAATGAAACGTCTGCAAGAAAACAACCAAGCTCAGAGAACACCAAGGACTCCACATTTTTGGTAACATTTAATGAGGGAGAATATAAGTAGAGTCAAAAAAGTTAGTGCTTTCCATGAATACTTTCACAAATTTTTCTTTTTACCCGTATCTAATTATTTAAGATGGAGCCATAAGGAGACACAATCATGTGACATAAAATTTTAAAGCTTTTTTCTTAGGCTAGAATGACCAGCAAACAGTGATAATGTAACAAAATTACATTATCAAAATAATCTAACAAAAGAAAGAAAATGCTACTTTGGTATTGTTTACTTCAAAAGAAAAGGGAAAAAAATGAGAATGCATTTTGGAATTTCAAGCTGACACTTATCCATTCACAGGGTGCTTACTAGAAAACAAACACAGTAGTTGTTGAAAAAGTGGGAGGAAGGGAACACAGAACTAAATGAACAAGACTAAGTTCTGATGAACTATAAAAAAGATCATTTAAATTCTGTTAGTGAGTTTAAAAACTGGTGGAAATTTTTAAATCCTAAAATAATGATCCCCCTTTGAATACAGCTCAGGAGAAGTCATAAGGTTTCTGCCTTAGATTATTCTCCTTCATCTGTCTGGATGTTGCTAACAGGCCATCTGAAAACATTTTGCCCAAAAAGAAAATTCAGAAGCTTAACTCTAATGTGTGCAGCATCACAATGATTATAGCCTGGAGGCATTTTTCCTCTAGAGACCCATAGATCTTTTTTCTTCACCCTGAACAGTTGAAAAAAAGTTTCTTTAGCAAGAATCTCAAAGATTTTCACATTCTTCCAAGAGCTGGCTGGTTTTTCAGAGTGCAGATTCCATCAACGAGGACTGTAGTCCTTCTTATTCAGTCTGCTGATATTTGGAAACTATATTATAGACATTTTATAGGCATAAATCCTGAGGAAGCACAGAAGGTGCTATATGAAGTTTCTTATGAGCAAATGCACTGAATTGAATGGTGTATTTCACAGACAAAATTTCACCCTTCCATTTTTTCTATAAGCCACAAGCCATCACCGAAATATAAAGTATTAATTTTAGGGTGTGAAAGTTATCTATTTCCTTATCTGTTAAAATGTTCTTTTGTGCTTTCATTTGATCTAATATAAAATGTTTCCATCATGGAAAGCAGTTCACTGTTAAACTTTCCACTTGAGGTATCAGCAATCATTTAACTTTTGGACTGCATTTTCTTCTTGCTTTACATTCAAAGACTTAGATCTTTTAATAATTACTCAGCTTCGGGTCCATACACAAGAGAAGAACAATTTCATATGCATTTTTTAAATGGAAAAGAATGTTGCAATTTTACCTGAAATGCATTTAAATGCAGTAACACTGGATTATATTATTTTTCAAATATGTCTAAGTTTCATATGCTTTTAGTAAACCTCCAAGGTCAGGAGTAGGGTTGGGCAGCTATTCAGATCCAAGGTAGGAAAGATCTACCATGGGTGCTCTCACTGTACTTCTCAGCAGTTCCTTAAAGCTCATGGTAGCTGTCTGAGTTAAGGCAGCATTAAAGAGGCAGTGACACATGGTCTTTCCTGTTTCACATCTTTAAGCAGAAGCAGAGAGAATTTGGGCAAAAAGTTGAAAAATTCAATAATCATATTCTCTCTTTGATCTTCTCTTCTTAAGGTTTCATTTTCTTTCCCTAGAAAGGGATAACAGGCTGAAGATGAATCCAAGCAAGATGGAGTCTCTCTTCATTCAACAAGGTTCTCTTCAGCATTATCACTCTATGGGTGGCACTGTTCTTGAGACAGCAGGTCTGGGATTTGATGGTCACCTTGGACTCACAGCTATTGTTACATGGGTAGGTGGAGGACATGGCCAGAAGGGTCTTTGTCCAGCTCTAGCTGGTGCAATATCTGTAGTCCTACATCTCTCATCACCATCTTGTTCAACTATTGCAACATACATAGGACTACATTTAAAGACCATTCAGGAAGTGCATTTGGTTCAAGATTCAACAGCCCACAGTTCCCCCATCTAGATGCCAATAGAACACATTACATCTGTGTTGTGGACCTGCCCTGGCTGCCAAAATATTTATGGGTGTGATTGTAGTTCCCTGCTACATCAAATCAGAGGACCTGGGGTCCGAAGGTGTTTTTCTGCAGACAGCCATCCTCAGAAATTAGATTAGCCGTGACACTGTTAGCTTTTTGGAAGCAAGTTAAGATGGAGCTCTTTCAGATGGCTTATTAAAGTATTTCAGCGGATGCTGTAGGAATGTTAATAACTGCTGTAATTAGATTGTTGATTTTAATTTTGGTAGTATATTATCATTATTGTACTGTGAACGTTTTATATTCATGTATATAATCATGTTTCCGTAGGTCAACAAAAGGTGTATGATTGCAGCAGTCTAGCAATCAAATAAATAAGACCTATTTTTTAATACTTTGATTAACTTTGTTACCTTTCCCTGATCCTGCTGCTCCAATTTATCTGAATCATTCTTAAAGCTATGGAAATCAGAACTGTATATCATAATTCAGAGTGAAAACAGTGTGGCACATACACACAGACAAAAGAATGATAGGTGGGTGGGAGGGGGTAAGAAAAGAGCTGGAATACAATTCAGGAAGAGCCATCTTTCTAAGGTAAGAAGCTTTTTGCTCTGTATAAGTCTGGAAGAGAGACAGCTTCTAATGTTTGGAGTGAGCTGTCTGACAGCAGACCCAGTTTGCAGCTTGAAAGCCTGCCCCTCCTTCTAAAGAAGACAAATGCATACAAGTTTAATAGTTTTTGGAGTTTCTCTTCACATTAATATTATTTAAAATCAGTGACTGCTGACTTAGTATTATAGCAAAGGGATATCAGTTCAACTGGTCAACCTAGTTGCTGACTAAAATCCATGCTAGCTAATTTAGAGTGACCAGAGCCTTCACAGAGTAATTTGTAGTGAGCAGAAATTAAATTGCTTTCTCCATCAGTGATCCAAAACCTCAAGTATACAAACACTTTACCTGGCTTCTTCACCAACACTGTTGTCAGCCCAGACAGATCTTCTGCCCTTTTGTACCAGGTATTCGTGGGATTCAGCAGCCATTCCTCCACTCGACAATCATAGGTCCCACTGTCCTGCAGTGTCACATTCTGGATGGTGAGCAGATACAGGCCTGGCAAGGGACTTTCCAGGTGCAGTCTGCTCTTCAGACCATTTAGGGTTGCTAGCTCTCCATATAAAAGAGTGGCCTGCCTGGTGAGCTTTACAACTGCCTCTTTCTCTGGATGGCCAGATTTCCACACATACCATTCCACAGACAACTGGGAAGCCTGACTACTCCGGTTAGTGACAAGACACTCTAATGTTATCCATTCATTTTCTAAAATGGTCAGGTTCTTTTGGCTCTTGTTCACTTCCAACAGATTATCTAGGAAATATACAAGAAAATAATTATTAACTGAAAAAGAATTGCCCAAAACATTAGCTATACTTCTACAGTTTCAACTCTGCTGTGATATTCTTTATACAGGTAGTCCTTGACTTACGACCACAATTGGGACCAGAATTTCCATCGCTAAGCAATGAGGTTAAGTGAATCGCGTCCTATTTTACAACCCTTTTTGCTAAGGTCATTAAGCAAATCAACATGGTCGTTTATCTGACTTCCCCCACTGACTTTGCTTGTTGGAAGACCTCTGGGAAGATTGCAAATGGTGATCATGTGACCCTGGGACACTACAATTGTTGTAAATACATGTTGGTTGCCAATGGCACAAATTTTGATCACGTGACCGTGGGGATGCTGCAACAGTTGTAACTGCAAGGACCAGTCACAAGTCACTTTTTCCAGAGCCATCGTAACTTCAAATGGCCATTAAACAAATGGTCATAAGTTTACCTGCATATTATCTGTAGTTATTTATTTTGATTTAGGCACCACTTGACTCTAAACTGACTCTGGGAAGTTGGATTCAATTTTTTTTAAACAATAATTCAGTGCATGCTTATAAGGATACTTTGTATTGTGCACATTGTCTCACATGGTTCTAGCATAAGAAAAGCATGCATATACACACACACACACACACACGCAGAAGGAAAGTACTACAGGCAATATGGGTTCCTATGCAGTGAGCACATGGGAATGCTGCAGATACAACATCCACTAATAAAACCGAGGGACTGCAAATGTACACTGCTGTGAAAGAATGGAACTCAAATCTTCAGGATTTGAGCTCCATTCCTTCCCACTGCTGAGGAGTCCCCCCCGCCCCCAGTGGTGGGACAGGAACGGAGCTCAAATCTTCAGGATTTGAGCTTTGTACCTGCCCACAGCTGAGAGGCTTTGGGGTGTGAAGAAACAGAGCTCAAATCCTAAAGATTTGGACGCTGCTCCTCCAGCTACAGGAAGGAAGTGGGGAGGGCAAATACTTTGGCGGGCTTTAGGAACATTTGAGAGTGAAAGAGGTGCCTGCTGGGAGGATTTCAGCTCTACATGGAGCTGAAACTATCTGGCAGACAGCCCTTTCACTCCCAAAGAACTGCCTGCTGGGAGGATTTTAGCTTTGCGCTGAGTTGAAATCCTTCAGCTGGCAGCTCTTTCGCTCCATCTGCTTAACAAAATGGGAGATCACTTAACGACCGCAACCAGGAGTGCCCAGATTGTGGTTGTTGAGTGAAGCAGACATGTGGGCATCTAACTTAATAACCACTTCATTCAATGACTGAAATTCCGGTCCCAATTGTGGTTGTTAGGCAAACTGTATGCTTTGAGACTGAATGGGGTGACGGTCTCATATTAAGCCCATGATACAGTATGATATCTCAGTGTTAGCAATTTGGTTAAAATTTCTCCTTTTATACCTTGTTATATATGGGACATTGCTTTTCATTCTCTTGTACTGAGCCCTTTAATAACAAGAAAAGTTGGCTTCAAAGTGAAATCAGGGAGAAACAAATAAATTAATGGATTGCCATTCCACAAATTGAGAGGCAGAGGGGGGTGAAGTTTATTACAAGACAAAACCCTGGCAGGGTTGATAATTTCCATCAACTATGCATTGCTCCAGAAAGTTGCTTGGCATTTAACTTTTAATGCTGTTAAAGACAACAAATTCCAGCCCAGTAGGAAGGAAGAATATCCCATTAGTTTGCTGCAAGTTGCCATGAGTCTGTATTGGAGTTGGTGGCATATAGATTTAAACAAAGAAAATTTGACCAGGAAAGGAAAGGGGGAACCTAGTGTTGCTTAAATGCAAAGATTTCAGAGTCCCCATTCCCATCTGTTTATGCAGAGCCTGCACAGCCTTTGAGAAATATTACCTGGTAATTTGACAGTGACTTCAGTCCGGCCAGAAACCTCCTCCGCCAATTTATACCAAGCGTGGTTAGGGTTGAGCAGCCACTCTTCCACATGGCAGTAGTAGCTACCACTGTCACTGACCTGGGCCCTCTGCACTGTCAGACTGAAGAGACCTCCGGAGAGTGACCTCTCAAATTGCAATCTTCCTTTTAGCCCTTCTTCCTCTGCATAAGTGCCATACTCAAATACAGAGCTGTGAGTAGTCTTCAGGATGAGCTTCCCATCTGTGTCTGAGGGTCTGTGAACGTACCACAGGACTGCAAAATGAGAGTCTGGGCTGGTTTGAGACTTGACAGAGCAATTCAGAGGGATAGGCTTATTTGCCACAAGGACTATACTCCGCTTTGATTTGTTGACCTGTAGCCTTGTTACTTGGAGGTGGGGTAATGGATGAGAAAAGAGAGAGAAATGGATGAATCAATTAATTATAGTGGAAAGCTTAATATTAATTATTAAACTTAAGATAGAAACTGTTATTATACAACAAAATAATTTAGTGCACTTGGCAGCTGTTTATCAATGCTATACTCAACCATGGATGTACAATTTAAGCAACCTTATAATTCTTAACATTAACCTTTTAGAATCCATAGTTAATATTAATATAAACTTTTTTCCTTATCTTTAAAGGTTTAAATTACTTAAATCATCAGAGTGTTAATAATCTCTAGCTAATACTATATAAATAACACTATACCCAAATAATACAATGTATTACTTGCATCTTCTAATACAATAAAACATTTTTTTTTAAAAAATGGATCAATTAAAAAAAAAAGCAAAAGAGAAAAGTTTATTTAGATGCATGCACATGGCTTTGTCTCAGCAAACCATCCTATAGCCATAGAGAAAGACCAGGCAGGATTGTCTCCCTGAACTTTATGCCTTTCCAAAAGTTTTAGGACAATATATATGGAGGATATCAAATATATGGTAAGATCAAGAAGATACCATTTTGTATTCCATTTTCCATGCCATTTTAAGAAAAAGGTTAATTCCTTATGTTGCTCAGACTCTTTAACTCAGTTTAACTTTTACCCCACTAAAGT